TGTAAATTTAAATGAAGCGGTGATTATTTAAATCGCGGCTTCATTTCCCTTTGCCCAATAAACAAATCTACATGGCTCCGTCGATGGAGCCATGTAGTGTAGATGTACCCTAGGACCCAGAGTGTAGAAAATTGTGTCTGCTGCTGGTGCATATGTAGGTAGCAGAACAGTACCATGAGAGGAGTAGAACAGGAAGAAGGCAGAATTGAGACCTTTCAAAGTTTTGGCCCAAGCAAGGAGGCATGGGGGCATCATTTGAGCTCCCCGCCTTAGGTACCAAAATGTTGTGGGCCGGCCCTGCTAGGCGTAGTCTCATAATTCCAGTTAAAGCTCAAGTTTATGATTACAAAATATGGGTTACTACTACTAAGAATTCAGTCTTTTCTAGAACTTTAAATGTATACTTCTGACGGAGGACAAGGAACAGCACAGAGATGAGCAGAGCCCATTTACTCTAGGTTGATGAGAGGTTAGTCCCTGGAGTACATTCTCCCGGTTTTTTATGCATTTGAATTAAATACAAGTTAACAATAACAAACAACAGTTTTCCTGGGTGGGAGAAAACCCCCCACTTCCCTTGCCCATGGATCAGAGCTATAGTTTTGTTTCCTACTTTTTTCTTTCTACTTAGTCCACAGATAAAATGCAATTGCCTAGATATAGGGTTGTTATTAATTAATGTTTATTTTCACATGAGTCTTTGCTGCATTAAAAATACAGCCACTGCAGAGATAAGAGCCAATCAGTGTGAGAGAAGACTGGTCAGACTGATAGACTCCAAATTTAATAAAACTTCCTTTGTTCATTAAGGTCTCTCCACTCAGTGTGTGTCTAGACTACAGGGTTTTTTTTTCGTAAAAAGTGGCCTTTTTTCAAAAAAAATTTCACCTGCATCTAGACTGCCACTGCGTTCTTTTAAACTTAAATCGAAAGAACACGGCGGGTTTTTTGACCGCGGTAAACTTCATTTTATGAGGAAGAATGCTTTTTTTTCGAAAGTGCTCTTTCGAAAAAAGGGGTTATTGAATGCAAACAGGACTTTTTCAAAAGAGAGCATCCAGACTGCCTGGGTGCTCTCTTTCGAAAAAGCAGCTTGCTTTTTCAAAAGTACTGCTTATAGTCTAGATGCTCTTTTCCAAAAGCCTCTTTTGAAAGAGGCTTGCAGTCTAGACGTAGCCTCAGTGTTCAGAGGAGTAGGGACAAATTAAGTTTTTTCAGCAGTAGTTGTCCTTCATCTTGTCTTTCCTTTTATTCTAGATTGTGCTTTTGCTTTTCCTTTAAAGATGATCCTGAAACACAAGCTTCAGATCTGAATGCTGTTTGCATTCAGACTCTTGTAGTTCAGTTTTAATCATTTGTGTTGGGTAAACTACCCCGATGGCCACATGTTTCCCCAGATCTAATAATACCAACCTAAGGATTCAAAAATCATGAGAAAGTAAGATCCTGACTTAAAAATCAGGAGATTTTTTTAAAGTGTTTGAGTCGTTAGAGTTACATTCAGGTCACATTTTTCCTAAAATTTTCTTCACAGTCATGAAGGTTGTGAGGGAAAAATTAAACAAAACGGAAATTCTCAAGTAATTACCTGCGTCCATGAGCTGAGACTATAAAAAACCACACACTTGTGATTAAACCTTGAAATTTAGCAAGACTGAGCTTCTGTCTATTCTGGACTATTTGTAAGAGGTGGGGAAATGGCGAGGGAAGAATTCTTAGCTATAAGCTGTCTCCTGCTCTTCTTTATCTCTCCAAGGAAGGAGGATGATGCTAATAAATGCCATCTAGATTTTCCAGCAGACCTTGTTTGTCCTCTAATAGAATCCACTGTAGGCCCCTTTTTCTTACGCGAGTATTAAGCAAGAAACAAATGTGGTGACGTGATTAAAATTAGGCACTTGTATGGAGGAGGGAGTGGGATCCTCCTGTAAAGAGCACTCTCATTTTTAGCCAGACAGCATTTTTACAGGAAATAAAACCTCTGTCTGCAACAGATGGAAGAGAGGTGGGGGGGTGGGTGGAATGTATAACTTATAACTTCTCTTTGTTCATGGCTTCTGCTGCAAGTGAGGGCTTATGATATATATTAGTCAATAAGAGTGAATTTTAAAATCCAATCATGAAATGTAGCACGCCACACATACGTAAAGGCTTTCATCCGTGGTTCTCAATATGCCTTGCAAACATTAGTGAACTAAGTATTGCGTCATCCCAGTGGGAGGGTGTTGATTGCCCCCAATTTGCAGATGGAGAAACTCAGGAATAGAAAGATTGTGATAGGGTTTAAGATCACATAGGGCTATTCAATGGCAAATCCAGGAATAGAATCCAAAGCCCTATTATAAGTGCTCTAACTACGGGGCCACACTCCACATGTGAGATTGCTCACATTCAAATTGGCTCCCTGCTCTTAACATCGATTTATCTTTATGCTCCCGTCTTCTCTGGAAGGACCCATCTCTAAAATTTCCCATTTGTGAGCAGATCACTTGGCCCTTTTATTAGAAATGAAGACTTTAATCCTGAAGATGAAACTAGAGAAATTCCTTCAGGATAAGGGGAGACTGGGGCATAGTTTTCAGTGAGAGGCTCACCAAGAGATGGAAAATAGACATCTGCACAAAGCACAATTCAGATCAGGCTATGATTTACCTTTTCAATCCCAAATGACACTGAGTGGGTGCATGTACAAAAAGATTATTCTCCCCCTCGGCATTTGCCTTCAGGGAGAAAAAATGTCTCTGATAATGTATTGCAGTGTAGATTAAATAATTTTCCACAGTTCCTTCACAAAGAGCTGCCGTTGTAAAGACTTGGGGCCAAATTCACTACTGACAAAATACAGTTTTTCATGTTCCAGGCTTTTGGGAAATCATTACATTAAAACACTGGCCCTGGGATTCAAATGCTGTAAGCTGTGTTAATCATGAACAGCCACAGACTCTCTCTTTCTAGGCTAGGTTCTGAGATCACATTAGTGTAAAAGCAAAAGGAAATCCACAGAACTCAATGTAATTACATAGCATAAAAGTGGGGCAAACAAGATCAGAATTGGGTGCTCAGTTCCTGACTCAGTACATACTAGAAACAGTCTTTTCTTTGGTTGTACCAAAATCTTGGTCAAGAATCTGAAAGTGGTTTCCTGAATAATGCAAACCACAGCGCTGTAAAATTAGGTGAAAATGTGCATGCTTATGCTGTTGAATAATTTGGGCCAACAGGCCAGTTTCTTCTTTTATGAAATTCTAAGAAGTGCTTCTTTCTTTAGGTGGAAAAAGTGAGATGGGGTAGGGGTCTTTCTTAGTGGTAAGTGTTACTGGAATTATATACTCCTTAACTATCTTTCTTTATGGAGAGCATTATTTAGTTTAGACCCACATGTACCTCTCCTACACAAACAGGATGCTACGGAAGAGTAATGAGATCCACTGGGTAGGACCTTGATCAGGAGTCAGGAAACTTGGATTCTATTTCCTGTTCTATCATTGATTGATTGGTTTTGTAACCAAGGGCAAATCACTTTGCCTCCCTATGCCCATTTCTATTCACTGTGATAAGAGGTAGTTGTAATTAAATAAAGTTCTATAGAGTGTGGGGCATTATTTTCTCGCTTTTTATTGTAAATACTTATGTCCTCCTAAAACAATGTTCTTATGCCAAAAGACTTTATGCCTATAATCTCTTAGGCTTCTGATGTCTCCCCCCCCCCATCCATCAACCCCATTCCCCTCCTACAGCCCAGAGAGAACCCAGGAGTCCGGGCTCCCAGCCCCCGCCCCCGTCGCCCCGCACCAACGCTAAAGAGGAGCCATTCCCATATGGAAAATAATTTAATCCGAGCTCATTCTCATCCCATCTCTCTTCCCGGGTTGGAGCATGTCGCTGTGGGGCTGGAGGAGTGCACCTCACGTGGGACACAGAACCCCATGCAGGGGGGACTACGCCTCCCTGCCCACAGATCCCCGCACCAACGCTAAAGAGGAGCCATTCCCATATGGAAAATAATTTAATCCGAGCTCATTCTCATCCCATCTCTCTTCCCGGGTTGGAGCATGTCGCTGTGGGGCTGGAGGAGTGCACCTCACGTGGGACACAGAACCCCATGCAGGGGGGACTACGCCTCCCTGCCCACAGATCCCCTGTGGCTGCCCAAGTCCCCCCCCCCATACTTCCCATGGTGCCCATATGTGCCCCGTGGCACTGGGCTGCACTTCTCATCTCCGGGGGGGCATCTGGTCCCCCAAGCCAGCCAGTCTTCTGGCCAGGATCCTGCCCCCCGAGGCTCCACTCCTGGCCAGCCCATCCCTCACCCTGGGGCCAGCCACTTCTTTCAGGGGGCCAAACCAGCATCAGCATGAAGGAGCAGCCACAGCGTCAGGCACGGGGGTCCACCCGTGAGGCCCAGCTGAGAGCAGCAGGCAAGGCCACCCATCCCCTCCTCGATGGCATCTCTGGTGGCTGGCGCGGCGGCGGAGAGTCATGTCCCCTGTTTCGGGGGGGCAGTGGAGCATGAGACATGGGTCTCGCTGTGGGGCTGAGGGACAGCAGACCATGGGGCACATCATGAACCCCCATTTCTGGGTCCCTGTGCAGTAGGAGGCTACAGAGGGTAGCAGACACTTGAGGCATGAACCCCCATTTCTGGGTCCCTAGGCAGTTCCAGGGTTCCCCCAGCTCTTCTCCGGAGCAGTCTCTCTGCAGCTGCCCTCTCTATGGAGGGGAATTCTGGGGGTGCGTGTCTCTGCCCCCCCCGACTCAGCTGGTGGACAGGAGCGACTTGAGGGAGGACTGGCTGGTTGGAGTCAGGTTCTCCAAGCTGTGGCACAGGCAGGTGCAGTCGGAAGCAGCCTCGTCGTCGGAGCCAGGGAGCGGTGGGGGGTGCCGGGAGTTGTGGCCAGTGCAGATCAGCACGTCCGTGTGCCGATAGGCCACGGCCCAGGCCTCCCCCGTCAGGCACTGGCATCGGCATCGGGGTCCCAGGGTGGAGAAGGAACCGGGCAGTCCCCCACTTTTCTTCTGCACAAAAAGGCAGGTCCTGCAGAGGAAGCCCCAGAACTGGTGGGACAGGGCACCGCAGCCACACTGCACCTCACTCTCAGAGCAGGGCAGAGAACCCAGGCTCCCAAGCCCCTGGCTTTAACCACTAGTCCCCACTCCCCTCCCAAAGATAGAACCCAGGGATCCTGGCTCCCAGCACCCCTGATCTAACCACTAGCCCCCACTTCCCTCCCAAAGCCAGGGACAGAACCCAGGAATCCCAGCGACCAGCCCCCCTGCTCTAACTACTAGACTGCACTCCCCTCCCAAAGCTGCGGAGAGAACCCCAAATCCTGGCTCCCAGCCCCCCGCTCTAACCCACCATTCCCATCCTGGGATCTCACCTTTTCCGCAGGTGGTATGAGAAGATGAGGAGCATGAGGAGAAAAGCCCCTGAAGCTGTGTACATAATCCAGCCTGAGAGAAGGAACAGGTAGAGATTATGTAGGACCTACAAAAATGGCTGAGAAAACAGTGTATGTGAGTAAGGGTAGTTGAATATGAGCTGGAAGGGGAAAGCCCTGGCCAGGTATGGAAGTGCAGCAAGGCAGGAATTGGGATCAGTGGCCCCACGTCCCATTCCACACCCCTCACCCAGCCAGTGTCCCTCCCTGGGGCTGGATGGGAGCTGATGCCCTGCAGGGAGAAGCCCTATGTCCCATTCCCCACCTCCAGCCCCGATGGTTAGGTCTTCCGTGCTGTGGGTCCAGCTGGCGTTGAACTGGTCTGTGGAGGTTGGATGCATCAGGGCACTGGGCAACGTCTGGGAATCACCCTCCGAGGTCTCTAACACGGGGTCCTTCACCCCTAGATACAGAGAGAGTCAGCCATGAGCCCCCTAGCACTGCCCTGGCCCAATGGGGCCAGCAGTCAATGCTGCTGAGCATGCCCTGCTCCCTGCCCCACAGCGCCCCCTAGCACCGCCCTGGGGCACTGGGCCAGCCCTGCCTGCCAGGGGAGAGCGCCCCCTGCTGCGCCCTCTTCCCCCTCCCGGGGCCACTGGCCCAGCCCTGCCTGCCAGGGGAGAGCACCCCCTGCTGAGCCCTGCCCCGCTTCCTGCCCCACAGCGCCCCCTAGTGCTGCTCTGGGGCATTGGGCCAACCCTGCCTGCCGGGGGGAGAGCGCCTACTGCTGAGCCCTGCCCCACTTCCTGCCCCACAGTGCCCCCTAGTGCCACCCTGGGGCACTGGGCCAGCCCTGCCTGCCAGGGGAGAGCGCCCCCTGCTGGGCCCTGCCCCGCTTCCTGCCCCGCAGCGCCCCCTAGTGCCGCCCTGGGGCATTGGGCCAACCCTGCCTGCAAGGGGAGAGCGCCCACTGCTGAGCCCTGCCCCGCTTCCTGCCCCACAGCACCCCCTAGTGCTGCTCTGGGGCATTGGGCCAACCCTGCCTGGGGGGGGAGAGCGCCTACTGCTGAGCCTGCCCCACTTCCTGCCCCACAGCGCCCCCTAGTGCCACCCTGGGGCATTGGGCCAGCCCTGCCTGCCAGGGGAGAGCGCCCCCTGCTGGGCCCTGCCCTGCCACTAGGGAGGAGATTCCCGGAGGGAATTTCCCGGCTCTGACTGCATACCTGCTGCCAGCGAGTGACATCCCAGCCTCCCTTCCCAGGCAGGTGTTCAAGTGCCTAATTACAGACCCCGGCTCCAGCCCCCAGGGTGTCATTAGCAGCACCTGGGAATCTGAGGATCCGAGTTCAAAGGCAAAGGCAGCTGCACCCATAACCGCCCTCCACCCCCATATCCCGTCCCCCAGCCGCACCCAGAGGGGCCGTGTCTCAGCTCCAGGCAAGGGGGCTCCCTATGAATCCCACAGCCCTGATAGAACCGCATCTCTCACCCCGGTAGGCCACTGCGAAGCCCTGGGCAGACAGGAGCTGGTCGGAGCGAAAGCTGAGGAGGAGGGTGTCAGTGGGGAGGAGGAGGGCAGGGCCGGGGCGGTGATGCCCGTCAAACTGCTCCAGGAGACGGCGGCTGTGCCCATCCCACAGCTCCAGCTGATCATTGGGGTCCCGGATCTCGAAGATCTGGAAGCGGAGCTCTATTGCGCTGGAGCCCGGGGGGCGCAGGACCCAGGAACAATTGCTGTCGGGGCCATAGTCGTCTGGGAAGTCTGGGGAGTAGATGACCCCTGAGGGGGCACTGAAGTTCCCCTGGCAGGCCCCCACAGAGACTGCAGGGGTCAGGAGAAGAGCAGGGGTGAGTAACTGAGGGGAGGCCAACAGGGCTGAGGTGTGGAAAGGGTTAATGATCTGGGACTATGCTGATCTGCAGCACAGCGCCCCCTAGTGCCACACTCAGGCCAGCCCTGCCAGCCAGGGGAGCACGCCCCCTACTGGTCCCCCACTCCCTGCAGCACAGCGCCCCCTAGTGCCACACTCAGGCCAGCCCTGCCAGCCAGGGGAGCACGCCCCCTACTGGTCCCCCACTCCCTGCAGCACAGCGCCCCCTAGTGCTGCCCTGAGGCACTACATCCAGCCCTGTCTACCAGGGGAGAGCACCCCACTCTCCAACTCCCTCAGTTTCCCCCCACCTTCTCCCTCCTGCCCAGCCCCTGCTCACCGTCATAGACCCCGATGCGGCCATCCCCCCCGCACAGCTCGCTGGCTTTGCCGAAGCAGACCTGGTCACACTCCACAGTCCCCACGGGCTGGGCCCACCGCAGGTCCCCCTCACTGCCGCAGAAGCAGGCGCACCCGGCCTCCACGCCAGCGAACTGCAGGGAACAAAGGGTTACATCCACCTGCCCAGCCAGCCCCCTCTCAGGGGTGCCAGCTCCGCTCCAGCCCCAGGCAGGGGCACCGGCCGGCTCAGCAGGGCGGGCACGGGGGGTTACCTTGTAGCCTCTCTTCCGGCAGGAGCGGACTGGGGGGGGGCCCCCCGCCTGCAGCTCAGAGTCGGGGGGTTTCCTGAGTCTAAGAAGCAGCCAACGTAGCCAGGCACTAGGAGGAGGAGAGAGGGGTTAGGTGCCAGGAGCCCGCCATCGGGCCCAGCGCCCATGCCCGGCTCCCGCGGGTGCTCACTGTGACAGGTGGGGATGTCGCAGTACTTCCAGTAGATCCCCTCTTCCGTCTCCAGGACGTAACACCAGGGCTGCACGTCCCCGTCCGGGTTGCGGCAGGCGTTGTGGCTGCCCAGGCCCCACTCCCCGTTGGGGTACTTGGCCGTGTTGTAGGCGTGCTTCTGGGTCTGTTTCCAGTAGAGGCAGGGCTGGCCCCCACCATTG